GGCAGTTCTAATCGCCTCTAAATGCTTGGGTTGGCGGTTCATGAATCGCTTTGTTTACCACCATCACGAGACACAATGAGGTGGTTCTCACAAACTGCTGAAATAACCGCCCAAAAATACATTTTGAGGAGGTTATTTTAAACGCCTTTCTGATGCGGTTACTATAACCACCTCCAAAATACGTTCTGAGGTGGTTATTTTAACCGCCTCTAGAAGATATTTTGAGGTGGTCATATTAACCGCCTCCAAATAAAGTGTAACCGCTCCAAAATAGCAATTTAAATACCATAATTATTTACACGCCAATATTTTTATATTACTTTTATATTTTGTTTAAATAAAAAAATAAGAGTAAATACCCTTTTTGGTCCTCAGCAAATTTCACGATGCCCGCTTTAGTCCCTAGCAAATAAAAAGGCCCATTGTGGTCCCTAAGAAATTCAAAATGGACCCATTTAGTTAAATTTGTGGTCCCTAAAAGACTAAAATGGGTCCATTTTGAATTTCTTAAGGACCACGATGGGCCTTTTTATTTGCTAGGGACTAAAGTAGGCATCGTGAAATTTGCTGAGGACCAAAAAATGTATTTACTCAAAAAATAAAGATACAAAGTATAAATTAAAATATTTCTTATTTTATTTAAAAATAATATAAGAATAATATAATAATAATAATAGTATAATATTATAAACAATAGTGTACTTGTATTCAAGTGTAGGTGTGTGTTAGTGTGGGTTCTTATATAGAAGGGAATGGAGAAGGAGGAGCAAAATTCATCCAATGTGGGACTTCAAAGTGAAAGTGAGATAAAAATTATTAATGTGCAACAACCATATTTGAAAATTTATATATAACACCAGATGTTTCAACTTAAAAATCTGAACGGTCAGATTAAAGTATTACAAGAGAAGAACACACTGACCAAATTTGAGGACGACCCATCGACTGAACAAAAAGATCTCCCTCTTTGAATCTCACTGTTCGACAAGCCATGAACCGCCTCTAAATGTGCTTTGTAGGCGATTAAAATATCCGCCTCTAATATACATTTGGAGGCTGTTGACGTGAAATCGCACCCAGTTACCATTTAGAGTCGAAATTCGAGGTGATTTTAATGTAACTGCCTCTAAATGGTCAATAGGGGCAGTTATTTTAATCGCTTTTAGTATACATTTGGAGGCAGTTTCACATCAACCGCCTCGAATCAATTTAAGTGCCGAAAGAACCGTCTCTATGTGTCACTTGGAGGCGGTTTAAGGAAAATCGCCTCAATTAAACTGTCTTTAAATACCAATTTTCTTGTAGTATATATATGGGATAATATATAATGCCTACTCTATTTATTCATTTCTTACACTGATAGATCAAAATCTTAACAGTTTTGAAAAAAGTAGGTAGAATAGGCAAAAAAAGGTAAGCATATTGTTTCTTAACGATATTGAATATAAACCATTACTGTAGTCTCACCCATAAGCTAAAGTTTTTGGGTTAAATTGGTTCTTAACTTAGTATAAGAACTTCGGTGTAAAGAGTTCGATCCTCATCGTCCCCATTTAATTAATAATCAATTAAGTGTTGTGGAGTTTCTAAGCGCAGTTAGGTAGGTCTGTGCATTATCGACCCTTTAAGCCTAATGGGCTTTTGTGTGAGGGGGCGTGTTAGAGAAGTATAAAAACTATTAACGTAACACACACACACACACACATATATATAGTTTGATTTTTCTGCAGCTGTTTTACGTGCAACAATGACAAATTTTCCATATATATGTTAAAACATTTTATATGGGGAATCATAACCAACAAAGACCGACACGCCCCGACATGTTCTGACATGCGGTCAACATTTTGGGACACGCGATCAACGCTTCATCACACATCTGACATAATTTTTTTAGGTGTAAATTTTATTTTATTAACAAAATACGAAAAAATAATTTATAAATCATTTTTTTTTGTTTTGGAATTTGACATGAAAAATTAACAAGGTACGAAAAATTATATTTGCTATATATTATGTTATGGAATTTGAATGTTTGATTGGTTCTATGACTTATTATGGGTTGTTATATGTATTGAATATAAATTATATCATATATTAAAAATATTATTTAATATCAAAATATGTCCTAACGTGTTAAAATATGATATTTTTTAGAATTAACGTGTCAGCGTATCGTGTTGTATCCCGTGTCAGTGTCGGTGCAACATAGATCATAACCATACAAAAGATGAAAGCATTAAATGTGAAGAATCATAACCATACATTTGTCATTGCTGCATGTAAAACAACTTTAGATATGATTTTACCATATATATATATATATATATATATATATATATATATATATATATATATGGAGAGGGTTCTATCTATAAACTTTCTATTTATAAACTCTTACAAACTACATTATGTAATCCCGGAAGTACACTAGGTTACACTATGTACTTCCGGGAGTACATAGTATAATTTACAAAAATTATAATTTTTTTTTTGTAAACAGATCCTTCCCGTATATATATATATATATATATATATATATATATATATATATAATAATAATAGTCTTTTTCATTATAATTTTTTATATTTTCAACCCAAAACGACGTCGTTTTGGGAGAGAATGTGGATAACTTATCTATACTCACTTTAGAAACATTAAAGCCATATATATATATATATATATATATATATATATATATATATATATATTATGGTCCATTTTTTCTCATATTGCTAGAAAAAAATTATCTTATGTTATCTATTATAACTATGTACTCCTGGGAATACATAATTATAATATTAAAATTATTTCTCTCTCTCTTTACGTCAGCTGACAACTTTGAAGAAAGAAAGAAAAAAATAACTTTAATATTACAACTCTGTATTCTCTGAAATACGTAATTATACTGGATGACATAAGATAACTTTTTTTTCTAGCAAGTATGATTTCTCATATTTTTTCTAACAACATATGAATATGATTTTTCATATATATATATAGTCAAAATCATATTACATCGGTGTAAGTCATACTTTCAATCCTCATAGTTGATTTTTTTTTTTTTGGTAGTCATAGTTGATCCTAATTATATCTAATCACTTGTTTGTAGCTTGTATATATTTCATTGGCAAAAGCCACAAGCATGATACTGCAAAAGGAGGTCGGTCTAATCAAGTTCAAACAACATTCTTAACTAACAAGGAGAAGACAAACAAACTTACATGCATTTTTTCCGAAAGTTTGCAGATAATGTAATTAACTCTTGTGCTTATCTCTCGTGATCTCCGTCACACAACTTTTGTATCTATATTTCTACATGCATATCAGAAAATTATTCATGCTCGATAACTTTCCATACCTAATTAAAGATCATACAATTTAATTAACTAGAATTACAAAAGTAAAGAACAGTAAGGTGTCCTTCAAAACAAAGTAGAAAGTAGAAGCATAAAGAATAAAACTATAGTCGAAACTCCCAAAAGCAGATAAAAAGTGCGCGTGTACTTACAAACCCCAGCGAGGCAAGTACGCCTTACGAGTCAAGACTTACGTGATTGCATGATTCCGCGCGGGCCATGCACGATAATTGGCTAACCCCATAAACAACTCTATTTCACCCCCCACTCTCGCGAGTCAACTAAATTCTGTTGTACTCGCTTGTTCCTCTCTCTTCACGTGGGCAAATTGGTCTTCTTAGTCTGCCACCCGTCAAATCCACTCAAATTACCACCATGCCAATGCATGTTCTTCGGGGACCATCTCATGTGAAAATTTACATGATCATGATCATGTCATGTTGAGAATCATAACCATATAAAGTTGGGTCAATGATAATAAGTGAGGAGAGAGAAAAATAATAAAATAGATAGTTACAAAATCATAACTATACAAAAGTGAATAAATAATAATAAAAGAGGAAAGAGAAACAATATTAAAATAGGTAATTACAAAATTATAACCGTTGATTTACCTTTGTATGGTTGTGATCTTCTTACGTGATCATATCATGTTTTTTTTTTCAGATGAAAAGATTCATTTCCATGTTCCTCCCTCCTCCGTGAAATACAAGAGCCATCGTATTCATTCAACTAGAATTAATAAAAATTTTAGTATGAAATTTAATATTAAATTTTATCTAAATATTTAGTCACAATTATTTAACTACGTTAAAAATATAATTAATTTTTAAATATAAGCTGGGCAAGAGTCCGTACACATAACATGGTTCCGCCGTTGGGTCAATATCCTCTCAAATTAAAACACTAATCAATTTGAGATTTTCAAATTTAGGAAAAAAGTTCAAGATATTTTTAAAAATATACTTTCCTATTTTATTATAAATTTTATTAGAATATCTTATATTTTTTTCTCAAATAAAAAAATAATGCCGTTTTAATTGATTTGGGATTACAAGATATATTTTAACAGTAGAAATGTTAATCCTTCAAATTATTAATTAACATTGTAACGGAAAAAGGTAGGAATCAATAAATACTCTATTAATTGATGAATAATATTTTTAATATTTTAAAATTGGGTCCGGATAGACTTATACTGTCAATTTTGTGGTTAATTTGTTGATGCGTTAATTCTATTTATATTACACAATTTTAATTTATTAGATAGTGAGCCAATAAATGCAAATAAATTAATGACAAAACTTTGGTGTGAATTTTTTTTATTTTTATAAAATAAATATTTTTTGAAAAAATAAGTAATTTATCATTTGAAGATATGGAATGAAATTCGGATGAAGCGAGAAACATGGTTTAGAAAGGGAAGAAAAAAACGACGACGCCGGATATTGCGAATAAAGTTCCCACCAATAGCATAAAGGCAAATAAAAGCCCAACGAAACTGTTCTGTTTTGTGTTTTAAAACGCAAGCACGCACGCACTTTCTCTCACTTTAACGTTACTACTACAAACAATCGCTCTCTCTCTCTCTCTCTGTGTGTGTGTGTGTCTGTATCTCTCTCACACACACATTCACACATATGATTACAGATCAGGCCGCACCAACCGTTCGAGCTTTCGCGTTTTGCAGAAGCATCTTCGAGCTGCTGCGGATTCCTTAGGGTTTTATTGTTCGTTTGATTTTGATAGAGAAGTTTCAATGGCTTCTGCTTCGTCTTCTTCTTCCTCGTCGTCCAAGCTCTGCTACAACCCTGACTGCAAAGAATTCAAGTCCGAAAGACCTAAACAAGGTTGGAAACTTCGTTCCGGAGAACGAGCCGAGCTTTGCGATCGATGCGGGTAACTGATTTCGCACTATTTTGTTGACTTTTAACGGCGTTTTCTTTCAATTTCTTTTCTTTTTCTTTCTTTCTTTCCTTTTATGCCGTTTCTAGGTTTCTCGAGCTTGGCATTTTTTTTTTACTTTTCCTTGCAGCGAGTTCCATCATGTTGTTGTGTTATGTTACGTGATTTGTATTGGCTGAGATATCTTGGTTTTGGTGTTGCTTCTGCAAAATTTGTGTAAAGTTTACTGCTTTAGCTTCTTGTTTTGGAATTTAGCTGTGTTATCGGGTGTTTTGGAATTGTGCTATGAATTGGGGATTAGTTTTAAGCGACATAGAGAAAACTTTGATGGTTTTGAATTAAATGCCCGGTGGGTCTCTCTCTCTCTCTCTCTCTTTGATTCCACTAGTGTTGGTTACGCAACATGAGCCTGGGTGGAGTGGAGTTAACCGTCTCTCATTCATTAAACCTATTTTACTTTTTTCTAATGTAAAAGTCTGGAATGAGAATATGTGATTAACGATTGCTAATTTATTTTAGTGCCATTGTGTCTCAGTTTTTATAACTTTAATACAATATCTCCGAGATCTCCTTTAAAAGGGGGACCAAAGGGGCCTTTTAATTAATTTTTTTCTTTTCTTTTTTCTTTTTGGTTCTCTACACTTTTGGGAGTTTGTCTTTTCCTAATTTTTCTTGGGAGATGTTTTACTCTTTAAGCTATGTTTGGATGGAGGATAATGAAGTAAGAGGGAACGGAAGGTAACTGGGAGTTTTTTGAAATGGGAGAGCTATAGCACCATATCACATGCAACCTGCCTTTGTGCCATGCTATGTGCGCCATATGCTCTATATTATCTTTGCTATTATAAAGTTCCGTGATATCTTTATATTTCTGGTCATGGATTACCCTAAACCCCATTCTTTTTCCTATTACACTTTGCATCCGAAAAGATCCGGTTTGTATGAGTTCACTGGCGACCCAGTTCTCTCTTCTCTGGCAACCTCTGTACCTCTTCCCCGGTTATTACATTCTTTCCTTTGCTGGGCTGGCCACACTTGATTTCTTCCATCCAGTGATGGCTGGGAGTTCTATGTGTTCTTTGGTCAAAAAGAATTTGTCATCATTGCATAAGTGTATTTCTTATCTCTTATCAGGTTAGGTAACACATGTTGATCTAACTGATTGCATAAATATTTTTCATTGTTTGCTTATGAAGGAAAGAAAAAATAAATAATTACCTTTTGAATGTTTGTACTCACTAATTCATCTATTAATCAAGAATTTATTTGGACATATTTTAACAATTATTCCCATTGCTTATCTCATTTTTAGTTGTATTATTATTTTCATATATTATGCATATATACTATTTCTTTTTATAAAATCTGGTTGTTACTGTGATACTTAGTACTGCTTTTGAAGAGGGAAGATTTTGCGAAACTTTTCACTTGAATGCTTCTGGTTGGAGGAATTGTGAGACTTGTAGGAAGGTGAGCCAAATATTCTTTTTGTAATTGCTTAAAGTGCTTTATGTATGGTACTACCTTAGATGCTAAATAAATTTACATAGGCTCCCCAGGCTGTGTTTGCATTATTTAGTTTTAACTGATGATGATTCTTTCTTTGCAGCGGATTCATTGTGGATGTATTGTCTCAGATAATTCCTTTATGCTGTTGGATCCTGGAGGAATTGAATGCAGTGGATGTGCAAGGGAACATAGTATTTTGGTAGGTTTCTCTATAAATTGTGAGGACATTTATTCCCCCCTGTTGGAAGAGGTGTGAATCCTCTCCGACAGATTTCTTATGTGTTCAAGTTTATTTATTGCATGAAACAACTGGAAGCATGGGTCTAGTTTATTGATACGTTTCAAAAAACATCACATGTATACTTTTTTTACTGGCAAAAACCTGTGCTCAATACAGAGAAAAATATTTTCTTTTCTCCTTTGAGCGCAGGTTTTTCTTTTCTGGCCCAAGTGTATCTTATTTTTATCACGATTTTCCCCCTTTATTTTTGGGCCTACATATTTGACTTTTCTAGCATGAATCATCATGTGGATGATGTGCATCCTTTTTACATCTTTTCTGGTGAAATAAACTCCAGAAGTTTCCATCTTATTGTGAATGGAGACTAGAGAAAAAGATTCTTCTATTGTGAAACCAAAAGTTCCTTGATCCTTGACGGTTAATCAGAAAGAAAGGGATATTAACCAATTCATTTGAGGTCTATGCTACAAAATCAAAACATGTTGAAGTTGGAAATTCTTCTCTCTATCTGGCAAAAAAATAAAATAAAAATTCATTGAAATCAATTATGACGAGTGTTGCATTTGTTACTGTTTTAAATTATTATTTTAATTTTCCTTCCCTGCTCTTTTGATTAAATTCTGGATTTACATGTTGTCAAGAAATTCAAATGTATCCAAATTTTTGGTTGTATAAATTCCTGAAAATAATACTTTTCAACACCCTTTTGCATTAAATTTGAACTTTTTTCTCCATCTTTACCCTCCCTTTTACCTTTTTTTATTATTATTACTTTTTTTTGTGTGGTGTGATGTCTAACTTTCTGAATTCCGATCTAGTCTGGGCTTGCTTTTGTCTTTCCCCGAGGTTATCCTAAGCTAAAAATATCTTATCTGGAAATTAATATTGTGTTGCTAGTTTTGGCTTATATCTCTTAATCATAAATTTCATGATGAGCAATTGAGCTCCGATTCATGGTTATGAATTGATGGTTGGACAGTATTTCATTATCATAGTCTGTTTGTATGCAACATTGTTTGCACGGTTACCTTATTCCTTATATTCCGTTATTTGTGTCAGTCGTCGATCCGGCCATGGCCACAATCTTTTTCCTTTCAAAATCGTTTGTCTGATAGACTTAGAGACCTGCCTGCAAAAAGTTGGAATCAATTACTTAGATCTGGTCCTGTACCATGGAAGGAAGCACCCAGTCTACTCAATTCAGTTTCTTCATCTGACATGTATCCGGATGTGTCCTCTCTAGTTGAATTATCAAATAAAGTTGACAAAATTTATGGCAATGAAACGTTTCCTGTCTCTTCCTTGGAAAAGAAAAATGAGGATTTGTCTGGAATATCTAATTGGAGCACTAAGCTTGGTTCACGGGAAATGATGCTTATGAATGGTAATTATGGCTTTGATCTTCTATTTTCACATTTTTCTGTTATCAGGTGGGAGATGAAGGAGTCTCTTAATAACATGGAGATAGCTTCATGACTTGATTCTTTATTATATTGCAGGAATGAGGAATGAAGACAAATCAAGTTCATGTTTAAATATTTGCCAGCAGTCTCCTTCTCTGAAGGAAGATTCATCTCCACAAGCATTTGGTTTGTCTATACCTTACACTTCTCCAAATGAAAGAAATGGTCAAATTGGGGTAACTGGAAATCATCTACAACAAAATCCTCCACCTCCTCCAGGAAAACAATTTAGTGGCCCTGTTCATTTATCACTTGACTCATTAGGTGAAACTCAGGTTCACAATGGACGGCCTCGAGTAGATGACCGAGGAAGAAACCAGTTACTACCACGATACTGGCCCAGGTGTACTGAGCTGGAGTTACAGAAAATATCTATTGAGTATCCTTCAAATTATGAATCATGGTCATGATTTTCTTGATATTTTTAATGTGCTTCCTTTTCTGTTGTGTCTAAAATCATAGATGAAAGGTAATATCCCTTAACTTCATACAAGTTCTAATTCTGCCATTACTCCATTGTTTCAAAAAACCTTGAGTGCTAGTGATGCTGGGCGAATTGGGCGTTTAGTGCTACCAAAAAAATGTGCCGAGGTTAGTCATGAGATTCCCTTTTTTGAACTATTATTAATGAAAAAAAATCTTTTTTGCATTGAATATAACTTATGTGGATGCATAATGTTTGTTGAAATTATGGAGGTTTAGGTAAGGAAGGAGAGAAGAGAAAATAAACATACTGAAAAATATTCTCTTGGGTATAATGATGGTGAAATTAAAGATAAAGCACTAACTCCTATTTATAGTGATACTAGACTCCTGATCTTAATTAAACATGGATACAAATCGAAATCGTGAAATATAATGAAATATGGAAACCATTCCTAAAATACCATCTAAGATATTTTAAAATATTCTTATTGTACTATGAATTTTTTTCTAGGTATCCTAACACTTTTCCTCATGCTAAAGCTTAGCTTTTTTTTAGTCAAAAACTGTTTTTTTTTTTTTGGGGGGGGGGGGGGGAAATCACTTTTACTACAAAGTCCATTTGGATTTCTGCTTAAAAAAAAGAGTAGAAGTCACAAAAAAGCCAAAAAAACCTACTTTTTGAAAGCTAAAAAATTTGGGATGACGACTAAAATGCCACACTATCACAAAAAATTACCTAAATGCCACAGACCGGAAATTATTTTCAAAATGCCACGTCCCACGTCACCTAACTCGCTACAACATCGGGGGAGTTAGGTGTGGACACGTAGCAGCAGGTTCATGGCCACCCCGATGCACAGTGCAGCGAGATTACGTGGCAGACAATGTGTCAAACTCGCTATGCTGCATAGCATGTTACGTGCCAGCTTGGCATGTTATGTGTCTGACATGTGTCAAACATGTCAAACTCGCTATGCTGCATAGCATGTTACGTGTCAGCTTTTCTGACACGTGGCCATACATAGCATATAATGTGTAAGTAGCCCAGCAGTCTAGCATTTTTAGTCTAATAAATTCATAGCTCCTAAAAATAATTAATTAACAGTTCTAAAATAATTTAAAGTAATAAAAATAAATTAAACTAAATTAATTAATAGACATAAATTAAATTTAATTCATTAACACTCCTAAATTAAATTAAATTACTTAACAGTTAAATTATTTTTAACTTAATATAAACTAAATTAAATAAAATTAATTAATACTTCTAAAAATAATTAATTAACAGTTCTAAAATAATTTAAATTAATATAGACGAAATTAAACTAAATTAATTAAAAAAGAAATTTAATTTAATTCATTAACACTCCTAAATTAAATTAAATTATTTAATAGTTAAAAATAATTTAAATTAACATAAACTAAATTAAATTATTTAAAACACCTACATTAAATTAAATTAATTAATACACATAAATTAAATTAAATTAACAGTCCTAAATTAAATTATTTTAACATAAGTTATTTAAAACTAAAATATTCAAACCAATATTAATTTTCCTTAAATCATTTTATTTGAAAATATAAAATTCGATAATTAAAATTATCCTATAATTTATTAGACCACAATGATGCAAGAAATGGGAAGGGAAATGGTGAATTTATTAGACCAAAAATGCTGGACTACTTACACATAATATGCTATGCAGCACAGGATGTATGGCCATGGCCACGTGTCAAAAAAGCTGACACGTAATATGCTATGTAGCATAGCGAGTTTGACACGTGTAAGACACGTAACATGCTAAGTTGGCACGTTTGCTATGTAGCATAGCAAGTTTGACATGCTGTCTGCCACGTAATCTCGCTGCACTGTGCAGCGGCTTACGTGGCCATGAACCTGCTGCCACGTGTCCACACCTAACTCACCAGATGTTGTAGCGAGTTAGGTGACATAGCATTTTGAAAAAATTCCGGTCCGTGGAATTCTGATAACTTTTTGTGAATAGTGTGACATTTTGGTCGTTGTCTCAAAAAAATTAGCTTCTAAAAAAAGCAGAAGTCAAAAGTCAAATATTTTTTAAAAAATTTAAATAGCTTTAGCTTTTGTAAAAAACACTTCTAAAATAAGCAAGGCATAAAAAGTCATCTTTTTACAAGCCCATCCAAACGGGCCCTAAGTTTTGAGCTTGTTACACTTAAACACATGAAAATAAAATAAACTAAAAAGATATAACTTGGTGGCAGGCAGCAGCATTTGGGACCGGAGATGAATAGTTGCCAAAATAATGACTAACTAAGGATAGACACCAGAAAGAATGTCAAGAAACCAGAAAAGAACTGATGTGCATGTTGCAATCTGTGTCTCAAGTACATAGCAAAGGCTCTATTATATAACTGGATATAATAATTACATAATAATAATAATCAATGTGGAACTACATCCCCCACAGTTTTCCACTCTATTTACAATATTCACAACAAAGCACATGCATCCAGTAGAATTAGTTATTACTCATTATATATATGTGTGCTTATTAGTTCCTCTTGTAATTAATGGTCTATATAGTATAATACCTACCTGCTTGGGCTGATTAAACACACTATTTTACCTTGAATCTTCCTCTCCTAATTCAATAATTATCATCTTTACAGTGGCTTGATGGACCATGTCTAGTTTGTGCAATTTCTTGTCTCTAAAGCTATTTATTTTTGTTTTAAGTGCAGTTTAATATATGAAGAGTAGAAACCCTCACTGTATTATTTTGGTTTTCTATGTGCAATTATGGGATTGCTTCTGGGCATTAACAATATATTCTGGTTTATTTGGCATAGCCATCTTATTTTGTCTTTGAGCGTTTAATGTAATGTATAATTTGATATTCTGCTGCATGAGACAGGCCCACTTCCCTAAAATTTATCAGCCTGAAGGACTGCCGCTCAAAATCCTTGATGCAAAAGGCAAGGAATGGATATTTCAGTTTCGCTTCTGGCCCAACAATAACAGCAGAATGTATGTTTTAGAGGGTGTCACTCCCTGCATACAGTCCATGCAGTTGCAAGCTGGTGACACAGGTACTGAAGGCAATTAATGTGTTGGAATATACGGAGTATTCTTCTTGGTTCACTCCTAAGCTGTACCTTGCTTTTTCATGTGTCAGATTTGCACGAACCTTCCTTGTTGTCCAGTCTGCTTTGGAGTACTTCCACATATGAACTTGATGCTGTTTTATTTATTGAGATGATTTTTGTTTTCTACAATATACGATATGTTTGGTGTTAAAAATTGCTTGATATAACATTTTTCATATTATTCATTTGTTTTTACAACAAAAACCAAGGCCTATCCCCCTATGCTGTATTTAGGTTTTATAGATTTATCTGCTTGTATTTAGGTCTTGCTTTTGTTAATACCTGTTGAATTTGCTGTGTTATGTGCTTGTCTTTTTTTCTCATTGCTCTTCTGTGTCTTACCATCGCACTGTCATTAAGTGATTATCATTCTGAGTTCTTGTTTTGTGGCTGAGCTGAAATTATTTTTCAGTAACGTTTAGTCGGTTGGAGCCAGAAGGGAGATTGGTTATGGGGTTTCGAAAAGTTTCAGGTGCTACCCCATCTGATCAGGTATGGCCTTTAACAAGTAAAATGTATAATTTTTTGAACTGTGGAATTTATACGCCTCCTCTTGAACTGTACTTTCTTATATGCCCTCCTAGTGGTTAAGGCTTGTTGTGGTGGTTGTGTAATTATATGTTTTAATTAGGTGTGGAAGTTAGATCCATTAATCCATTATTCATCTAGTCAATCCATATCTAAATCCAATCGAATCCATCCAGTTACAACAATAGATTCAATGGATTGGGTCAGTTATTATAAATGGATGGTTAATGAATCAATCAAAATTCTTATTGGATATCCAATAATCAAAATGAACTGACACAGCACAACATTAAACCTTTTTTCTTAAATATTTTTATATTTTTCTTCAACTTTATGCCCTATAGAAATTATTTCTCTCTCACTCTGTATCATATATTTTTTTGTCTCTGAACTTTTTTTTTCTGTGGAAACAAACACCACCACATCAAGGCTAAGAAAATCTTCAGCCAATAAGACCTCTAGCTTCTCTGAAGAGCAAGCATTCTATGTTGGTTCTTGTTCAGTTCTGCTGCTGCTGCTTTTTTTTCCCTGAACTGCTTGCTTGCCCGGGTGACTAATGAGAGTCAAAGAGAAAAAGTGAAGGTGTTCTGTTCCTAATTTCCTTCACTTCAATTAACACATAACTGAAGTTAAATACTGCAACACATCCATATATTTAACAGAAGTTCACATACAACACAAGTGGTTAGACCTCTCCAAGTAGCACTGTCCTTCACTAACTACCCTTACACAAACCAATAACTGACTGCGTTTCTAACTCAGGATTAATTTATCCTCTTATTACAATATGGAAACTGTCCTAAGCGTTGTCCTAAACTGCCTGTATTTTCTAAACTACCCATAACTTCCTATAACTAACATAAAATGTGTGCTCCATCACATTATTACAACATAGTAACTACACATTATTCGTTCTAGTATAAACCTTCAAAGGTTTAGGACCACCAATTCCCTTGTATATATCTGAAGGGAATGGGATGGAGGTTTTAGAGAGAGCAAGGGAAATTATGTAGTGGATGAGCAAGGGTGGAGGAGGGAGTTGATTTACAGGGCGAGGGGGAAGGGTGTTGTTGGGTTCTATTTGCAAAGTATGGGACTTGGAGTACCACATTGGTTGTATGGGCAACTAATGTGAGGTTTATAAGGCCTTGGGTACTCTCACCCTTTGAGCTAGCTTTTGGGGTGGTGCATTCCAAGGTCTCATCAAATGGTATCAGAGCATCCATCACGTGGAGTGTGTGTGGGGGCACGCACTAGGGAAGCGTGGTGGAATGTTGGGTTCTATTTGCAAGGTATGGGACTTGAAGTCTCACATTGGTTGTATGGGCAATTAATGTGGGCTTTATAAGGTCTTGGGCAGTCCCACCCTTTGAGCTAGCTTTTTGGGGTGATGCATCCCAAGGTCTCATCAGGTGCGTGCGTTTGTATTTTAATAAAAAATTATTTTAAATGAATGGGTTGGATATCCATCCATCAAAATGAGTCACAGATAGGTTGGATGATTTGAACAATTTTTTAAAAGATTCTAAATAAATTAATGGCTTATTTTTTATTAATCCATTTTGATCTATCAAAACTCATCCTATCCATCCATTTGCCAAACTAGTTTGAATGTAGATTATATGGTTTATTGAAGCTGGCTTAGGTCAAACTCTAGCTGGATGCTTGCAAGGAAAGCTATACTTGTGAAATCAATTAGGTGTTATACATAACGAATCAGCATTCGCCTGTACAGAGAATTTTTCAATATAGGATGAAGGTTCTATGATGCCCTAGTGTAGTTCCTGACTTCAAGTTATATTGTCCAGATTCAGCTTAGCTTACCGTGACTAATCATCTAGTTGTGGAGATTTTGTAATAGATGATAATCCATCAATTTAATAAATCAGTGTTTATTTATGCAGTTGCATGTTTTGTATATTATACGTCCATCCATTTATATATAGTTTGCTGAAATTTTGGATGTTTCAAATGAAAATTTACATCTATTGTTTGTATATTTCCTGTTTGCAGGACAATGAAACAAATAAGTCTGGAAATGGATTCTCTGCGCTTGAAGTTAGTGTCACAAAACTAATGGCACTGGAACTGCAAATATTCATCATTTAAGATATTCTCACTTGCTTTCAATCTGTTATGTAGGTTGAGCTGGCTGATCCTAATTCATGGTCTAAAGTGGATAAGTCTGGCTACATAGCAAAAGAAGCACTGGGGAACAAATCTTCAATCTCTAGAAAGAGAAAGAGCAGCATTTTGGGTTCAAAGAGTAAACGTCTAAAAATTGAAAATGAGGACCTAATAGAGCTGAAGATTACATGGCAAGAAGCTCAAGGCCTGCTCCGTCCCCCACCTAACCATGTTCCCAGCATTGTGGTGATTGAAGGTTTTGAATTTGAGGAATATGAGGTACCTTTCTTCTTTCTTCACATCAGAAATGATTCAAACTGTTAATGTTATACTTTTTAGTGACATGATATTCTGAAGCTATATAAGGTTAAAAGATGTTCATTTGGTTGGATATTCCTAAGAATTTCTGATAGAGCACAACAATGCTCGAATAAAACAAGTGGTATAGTTTTTGTGACAAACACTGGCAGGCACATTTCTTGTAACAGCATGATATGTTTGTCCTTTAAAGGACCACAGATATTGTTAACATGTGAAGTTGTATCATGAAAAACCCATTTCCAGTTATTGAGGAAGAATCTAGGAAAATGGTCCTAAACCAAGGTTACATTAATCCTTTTAGTGTTTGCAAGGACAAGTTGAACCTTTCTTTGGTGGTGATCACCGATAATGAGCATTGATATGCTTTCTCAAATTCATATAAATTTAATCAAATGACATTTCTACTTTGGCCATGATGCAGGTAATACAATTGATCCATGATGTTGATTTGGTTAGGTGAAGTGTGACCAATCTATAATATGTAGTTGTAAGACTTCCAAGTAATGTTTGACAATTGAAACTTCAAAGTCTCAGGGTCAAAGTACCGGGATATAAGGGGAATGGAAGAGAGTTAATGGGTGTATTTTAGTACCATTTATTATCCTCAACTGACATTAGTTGAACTATTACATAATGTGACATTTCATGTGTTTTCTTGTTCTTATATTCTTTACGGTTTTTTATCAAGTAGGAAATTGCATTATTATTTGTATATGCTAGTTGCTAGTTGCTTGATCGTCACATTCCTAAACCTTTCTTCTTCCCTTTCCTCTGGTAGCCCTTCAAGATAAATACATCTTTAATTGAAATACTAAAGTCACTAGATTGGTGCTTATAATGTTGGATTGATGATCATAGTGTGTATCTTTGTTGTCGTCTTTTTGCTTTATTCCACTGAAAGATTTGGAAATTGTTATGCATTGTGGAATCCCTTATGCTGAGATTGCTTTAACAGGATGCTCCTGTGCTTGGGAAGCCAACCATTTTCACCACTGGTAATGTGGGGTAAATCACTTATCCTAGATTTCCATCACTTATCTGTGATTAGATCCATTGAAATATCTTCGGCATAGTTTTGAGAGTTTGTAGAATGATGATCTGTTTGTTGTATGAATAGCATGGTTAACAGAAGTCAAGGAAAATTGATATTTTTAATTTTTGTTGTTTTAATGATGACATGTGGTATTATGAATTGGTAATGCTTTCTATTACCTGAAGACAAGCATTGAAGGGATATTATGTGTGTATTCTATTGTTGTGCGTGTGTTATCAGTTAACACCTAAAAAACGTTTTATACTTTTTTTTCTACAATTTAATTGACTTATTTATCCTGGGTAATTTATTCTGTTCATTTAACCAAGTATATAAATTGCCAGTAATGAGCTTTATTTGTGCCAGTGAAAAGATCCAGTGGGCTCAATGCGAATTTTGTCTTAAGTGGCGCAAATTACCAGCAAGTGCACTTCTTCCATCAAAATGGACATGTTCTGATAATTCATGGGACCTGGAAAGGTACAAGAGTGATCCATTCTCGTAGTTTTCACATGCAGTTTTGGTCCATTGTGCATTTTTTTTCTATTCTGTTTCTTCTGCTGCAAATGTGTGGATGAAATTAAAGAGCATTCCCGGGTGAATAAGAATGGATTTCATTTAGACCATTCATACTGTATGGTTATGGGCCAACCGTGATGTGCGATGAGAGAATGTTTCATTATTTAAGATATATCCAGACTATTTACTCTCATAATTTAGAAGTGGTATATCCATGTATGTCTTGCTTTATTTTGGATTCTTTTGACATCAGATCAGATGCTAAGATAAGCATTACATACATAGGTGTCCAGCACCAATATTTTATGCCAACGTACAGAATGCTTGATAGGAACCTAACTTTGTTTATTCTGTTTTTTGTGTTTTGGTTTTTGTTTTTAGTTGGATTCTTGTCACATTGACTATATTTTTTATACTTTCTTTACTTAGCATACCCTTCTACACGTACTATGTGGTTTGTGGGAGAGAAAATAGAAACCGGGAAGATAGGAGCTGGAAAATTTTATGAAACCATGCATCATCATGTTTAGATTCATTTTCACGTTTCAACTTGTTCACCTTATTGTAATTCTATATGAATATGTAACCAACCAATACATTAGTGAATTACTTTATTCTTTGAATCCTTCATGCTACCAGATCTTCGTGTTCATCACCACAAGAGCTGACCGGAGAACAGCTTGAGAATCTGCTACCCTCTCGTAATGCAGGTTTGAATTGTTTTTTTCCTTCTTAAAACAATGTCTTGGATTCCTTCTCTCTAATGATGTAGTAGTTAAAAAGGGCAAACCCTGGTGCATAAGGCTCCCAGTCTTGCGAGGCTTGGGGTGAGGGTTGATTGTACGCAATCTACAAAAAGGCTACTTTCAAACTTGAATCCATGATCTTCTATTCATAAGGAGAAATCTTACCGCTGCTCCAAGACTCGTCCTCAATGATATAGTATTTAATATAATGAATTTCTAAACTAGGGTATAGTAACAACTACATTAAATGCATTTCTTTGGCAGCTGTTTCCAAGAAAAGGAAGGCTGCCAAGCAGGATCCTGATAATGTTGAGGCTTTAGAAGGACTTGACACACTTGCAGACCTAGCTATCTCGGGAGAGTGTGAGGCACTCCCGGCTTCTGTCCAGGCCACAACGAAACACCCACGGCATAGACCTGGCTGCTCTTGCATTGTTTGCATTCAGCCTCCAAGTGGGAAGGGCCCCAAGCATAAGCAGACATGCACTTGTAATGTATGCTTAACAGTGAAGCGCCGTTTTCGTACCCTAATGTTACGGCGTGAGAAGAAACAATCGGAAAGAGAGGCAGAGACAACACGGAAAAAGGAGCAGCAGCTGTTACCTTCATCTGAAATTTTGATTGATGATGATTCACTGGCATGTAATAACACGGGAGATAATAGCCCAAACCAGAACCGGGAGGGCGTTGATGGTTCTGATGATAATCCCAAACGGATAAAATTATCTGCCTTGCCATTCAAAGGCCAAATTGACCTCAATATCCAGCCAGAGCGAGAGGAAGAGTTATCACCTAGTTCTGATTCCGGTAGCATGGTGAAGGTGCTCCCTGATGCTACTGAAAGGTATATCAGACAGCGGTGTATGTTGAAATCTGCTGCTACAGATTCATCAAGCAGTCAGTCACAGCGAGTTGGAGATGGAATGAGAGAAGAGGAACTAAGTAATGGTGTTGTAGCCCTTGGAAACAATAGTCATAATGCTGATCAGGAACATGCCCAAGCTTTGTCTATGAATGTGTGAAACTCCATATTTGCTAGAACTTCCGGCGACATGTTCTTGCATAGCCATATAGAAGTGGGGGGAACTTTTTGCTATACATTTTTATCCACTTCGGTTTCTTGCTTTTTCAGTCTGTACATAAAGAGGGTAGGAAAAAAAAGGGCAATTGGTGAAAAGCTAATGATATATTCCGGTAATGTTATCGGACATCACAGCAGTTAGTTTAGGGAAATTATTAAATGCAGCTGAATGGGGTAGTAGGTTGAAGCTATTTATTTTCTTGAGATCTCAACTTGCCACCTCCGTTCAACAACATTGAAAAAGTAACTAGGCCTAATTTTTTCCCCCAATTTTTTTAGCCTCTAAGATGTTTCTAGTAAATGAAAATGAAGATTACCAGCTAAAGCAAGCTAGTTTAGCCTGTTGATTTAGCAGAGTATTTTGTTAGGGTGTTTGGCTTGTTGGGTCTATAAATAGTTCATTAGTGTAAACATTTGAGATATTTTTAATGATTTTATGAAATTAATATTTCCTTTATTTAAAGAGCATATGAACTTGAGTCAGGAACATTCTTCCCATAAGCACTTCTTTTTTTGGTAGACATTCCTATAAGCACTTTAGGTTTGTTTAAGGTGGGGACAAGTTGACTCACACATCACCCATATTCAATTAATAAAAAAAATGCCTTAAGTACAAAGTACAAATCATGAAGACATCTTTTGTGATTATGAAATTAATTTTTTCACAAATAATCTCTCTTCCTTTCCCCTCCCCTTCAATTCCCCAATCAGATATGTGACTTTATTGTTGAAAAAATCTCGTTGTGTTTTTTTAATACTATTCTAATCCACTTACGTTAATTACTTGCAATCATAATTGTAATAATGTTTAGATTCCTTATTTATGACTTACTCCCTATTTATTTATTTTTATTTGTTTTCAAATTTCAATTCCCTTATCTTTTAGGGAGAATGTTTTCAAAATTCAAATGAGATTGTGTATTATATCTAAATTATTTATTTTGGTAGTCTGTGTAATATCTAAATTAATCAATAAGCAACCCACTAATATACATTAAATTAGAATAATTTTTTTAGAATGACTTAGGAAGTGTTCGACTTTGTTTTTGTTTTTTAAAATTACTTTACAGAATAAAAATATCAAAACAATATGTTTGATGAAATTTTTTATGAGAATAGGTGGTAGCGGGGATGACAATTGACAACGGCTCCAAGTCTCCAACAGCGATGAATTGGAGTGAAAATAGAAAATTCATGAAAACAAGAATAAGAAAACAAAAATATTTAAATTGTGTTCTTTTCTATTAAAAAATAATATGGAGAATAAATTGTCAAAACAATCCTATAAAAAAAATAGGAACCCAATTCCCAAACAAGATTTGTTTTGTGTTTTAGTTCTTGAAATTAGAAAAATATTTTGTAGAACTAAAATCAAATAAAGCCTTAATCTCTTAACCTACTCTATTTAAGAAAATGACACACGTAATTCTTAACTTCTCTTTTTCAAATTTTAAATTTAAATTTTTTTCAAATTAATTACGCACATTATCTTTTTAATTTTAAATATTTTTAATATATATTTATATATTTATGATACTTTTTTATTTTACTTATAATTTTGTATTTTACTTCAAACTAATCATATATATTCCCTTATACATTTGCATATTTTCTTAAATATTTTTCAATTTTACTTGAATTTAAAAATACCCGTACAAGACATGAATAATGAATTTTTGGTAGTTGTTATTGTAAAACACAATATATATTTTTTGATAAATAAAACACAAATCTAATACAAGAGATACGATGCTCCGATTTCTCGAGCCTTCTCTTTTTTTGGCGGAATTAGAATTTGATGCTATGATTTCGTACTCAGTGCAAACGGCTGATTTGAATGAAAAGTCAATGTAGTCTTACTCAATTTTAATTTTTTTTATAACCTCAAAAAGTATTTCTTATTTGATGTTTATGTATAAAGCAATATAATTTATCCTCAACAAAAATTTGTATCGCTTATATAATACTAAATTCACTTAAATCAATGATTAAACTTTGTAAATAAAAATTAAGAAATGCATAAATAGAATGACTCAACAATGGAAAGTTATCCATAACATGCTTGATTCTAGCTAAAATTCTTCGTTGGGAGAAAGCAAAATCTATTTAACTTAAAATGGTATTGAGATGGGAACTTCTATTTAAAAAAACTATAATTTCAGCTCAAATACTCCTAAAAATAAAAGAGCAAAAGGGTTGATTGAGAGGACAGAAAAAAAAGATGACCAAGTCATAAACCAACTTGAGTACATTTAGAAACAGCAATGCCATTTGTTAATAATATATGAGGAACTAGTGGTGTATCAAACTTCTAAACACCCTTTTTTTTCTCATTAGTATCAAGTCAATTTGGCTGGTCCTTGTTTCATAGTTACCATAAGCCTCTAGAGTACCACCACAAGAAGAAGAAAAAAAAAAAACTTTTCTCCTCAGAACCTTTCGTTGGTGACAATTACTTGTTTTTGCCACCTTCTAGCTTCCTACCCTTTAGTTAACTGATCATAATCCAGAGGAGGATAAGGGCACAAACCCCTCAAGATTTTGTCACAGAAAGGAACATACACAACTTTGTTAGAAGACAATTATCTATGTTCTTATGAGCTTTCAGTTACTGGATTTACCAAGTACACAATAGACCACTTAACAAAGAAAAAACCAAAAACAAAATAAACACAAAGAAGGGTTAGTCATTGTTCATTAAATCTGCAAAAATGAACGACCTATTCTCAAGCTCCTTCAAAAAATACAGTGACTTGAAGCAGCAATCATACCTTGATGATGTGGAGGCTGGGAAGGAAGGCATCAATCTTGATAAATTCTTTGAAGATGTGGAGAATGTAAAAGAAGAAATGAGAGCAGTTGAAAAGCTCTATAGACAATTGCAAGAGGCTAATGAAGAGAGCAAAATTGTTCACAATGCTAAAACAATGAAAGAACTTCGAGCCAGAATGGATAAAGATGTTGAGCAGGTTCTAAAACGTGTCAAAATCATCAAAGGAAAGCTTGAAGCTTTAGAACGTTCTAATGCAGCAAATAGAAACCTTCCAGGGTGTGGTCCAGGTTCTTCAGCAGATAGAACCAGAACTTCTGTGGTTAGTGGCTTGGGAAAGAAACTCAAGGATATGATGGATGATTTTCAAGGGTTAAGAGCAAGAATGCAACTTGAGTATAAGGAAACAATAGAAAGAAGGTATTTCACAATAACAGGAGAGAAAGCAGATGAAGAAACTATAGAGAATTTGATATCAAGTGGAGAAAGTGAAAGTTTTCTTCAGAGAGCAATTCAAGAACAGGGTAGGGGTCAGATAATGGATACCATATCAGAAATTCAAGAAAGACATGATGCTGTTAAGGAAATAGAGAAAAACTTGATTGAACTTCATCAAGTGTTTTTGGACATGGCAGCTTTGGTAGAGTCTCAAGGTCAACAACTTAATAACATAGAGAGTCATGTTGCACATGCTAGTTCTTTTGTAAGAAGAGGCACAGAACAACTTCATGAAGCTAGAGATTATCAAAAGAGCTCAAGAAAATGGACATGTTATGCCATAATTCTTGTTATTGTCCTCATTGTTGTGCTCCTATTTCCTCTCTTGACATCACTTTTACCTCATTTGTTAACATGAAGAAATGAGACATAGAAGTCCCTTGTTGAGAACATTGCATCCTCAGGTGATTATGCATTCTAAAATGATCATAATTATACCTTGGACAGGTGAAAACAGTCATGAATTTCGTATGAAGAAACATTCAGAATGGCTTATCTGAAGTTCTTCTAGCATGTGACCTTGCTGAACCAAAGGATCCATAGAATAAAACAAAGTTATTCTGATTTTTTGGTTTTGGATTCCCATAGAATTGTAATAGGAAGAGAAGAACAGGAAACATGAACTTGACAATGTTGTAATAACAGGTTGACACATTTTTGGAACGGATACACATTTGAATTAGCTTTCTTCTTTTTCTTCTTTTTCTTCTATTCTTAATTGTTCCTACCCCATGATTGAATATCAAGTTCTTCAACCATTCAATCATTGCATGGATGGGTAATATATAGTATCCAAAAGAATTCGATCAGCCTACAGGGATATCACTCTTTTGAATTTAAAAAATAAACATAAAAATAAAATGGTATGATTTTAGAATTAAATCAATAAATATTGTGTAGTATATATTTAGGGTTTGGGATGTAATTTTGAGGTTTGGTAAAAAAAATGTACAATATTTTAATAAAATTCATAATAGAAGATGAAAGTAAATTTTTTAAAATACTCGTTATTTTTTTTTTCCTCCTAAATCCCAAGATGATGTCATTTTAAGATTATAGGAGATAACTTTATTTACAGTTGAAAAAAAAAAAAAACTTTTCCCATATATTTATTATTATAACTCTAAAGCTTCAAATCTCTTGACGCATTTTACAGATATTTGTTGGCATGCATTTAAAGGATGTTTTGATGCTGCACCAAATGTTTCCAGTGATAGAGGGGAAAGCCAGGTTATGTGATTAAGAAATTTCATGTTAGTCAGATACATCATCTTAAGGGTCTAAATACTAATTTTATTCTGGGGTCAAACATTAGCTTATATATTTTAAAAATAAGTTAGAAATTTTTTAATGGATTTCCAAATAATATTTTGAGCGCCGGATGTTATACATGTTCAATAGCCATAGTGATTTTTTATTTTATTTTTTGGATTTCATAACTTCAATATAACCTAGAGCCTAGAGGTACAAGATTAATCTGGAGTAGCATGACAATTATCCATAGTATTCTTGATATAGTAGCGTTATATAGCCACAAAAAAAAAAAAAAAAAGTTAGAACAATAGTATAAATTCCTCATCCATTATAATAGTTATCACATAACGGAAAATTTAAATAAAAAAAAAACCCACCTCTACTCGCTGCCCAAACTAAGCAAGCAGCAACCGTAGGTATTCTTCTCAGCTGGGATAATGTTGTGTGAATTAAGTAACATTCATCCACTAGGAGTCTTCTCTTTTTTCTTCCCATGTAATTATTATGTTGCAATATCATTATATCTTTTCTTTCGTCCATGCTAAAATATCATTTTCATCGCTTAAAACTTGTGTTAACATCAATTTGGTCATATCAATTTAGTTTCTAAAAGATAAAAATTAACATCAATTTTAGTCCATTAAAAAAATTGTCATCAATTCAGTCCATCAATAATTGAAAAATGACACTAATTCAGTCATCAATTATAAGTAGTTGATATCAATTTAGCTCCTTAAACATAAGGAATAATATCAATTTAATATTTCAATCTTTTGGTTTGTGCACAAAATAATAATTTTAATATGACTTTTCGTTATTGATAAACTAAATATTATTATCGGAGGACTAAATTATATCACCTATCATTTAGGAGTTAAAAATAATGTTAATCCAACCTTTCTCACAAAATTTTGTGGCAAAGCCTAATGTCTGGCAAGCTTATGCCTTAGGCAGGCATCTCGAAGATTCGAAAAAAATCTAGCCACGTCTCATCAACTAAATTCAAGAAAAAATTTAGCCACATTTTATTAGCAGAATTTCATTTGTGTAGAGTTTCATATCTTATTGTCCAAAAAAAAACTATATATTGTTTACAGATGCTTTTGTATTTAAAAAAAAAAATTGACAAAGCCAATATATACAAAAAATATGTTATTTGCACAATAATCATGAAATAAATTTTAATTTTTCAAAAAACCGATCCAATTCAAATCGAAAAAAATTAGATTAGATTGAATTGGATCGGATTGGATTTGAAAAAAAATTCAACTGAATGGATGATTACTTGATCAAACCGAAGGATTGGATCAGATGATTTTTGCTTTCAAAATAGATCTAATCCAGACCGCGAACACTCCTAAATGTGATCAACTTATACTGATGTAAAAATAATAAATCTTACACCAAATCTTAATCGCTGATATCCGTGAATCTAACGATTATAATTTATTGAAAATTAATAATTAATTAATAAATGTGAACCAATAAATTATAATTGTTAGATTCACAAAAGTAAAAAGTTAAAATTTTATATAAAACTTATTATTTAAATAGAATCCTTCCCTATTATTGTTGGATTGACGCAATTCCTTAAAATTGAAGAAAGTGATTGGTTCACATTTGTGCTTGCCACACCCATAACGTGTGTAGAGCCAAAACGTTGGGCAGTAATGATTTGTAGTACTCAATAAGAATGATAAGTTCCACGTATCTATTATAACAAGTAGAGATATGCAAGAGTCGAATTGAATTAAATTTTTTAAAGAACTGAACCAAACTCGTTTAAACCAATTCGGTTCAAAAAACTAAAGATTTTTTTTACCCCACACCGATTCGGCTCGCTTCAAAACCAATTCGGTTCGGCTCAGTTCGATTCAAAAACTATTCGATTTGTTTTGAAATCAATTCGGGTCGAATTTATTTTGAAAAAAAAAAAAAATAAACAAAAAATTAAAGAAATAAAGTTCGGTTCTTAAACTTGTTTCTAAAACTAGTAATTCGGTTCATCAATTGATTCTTTAAACACCAATTTGGTTCATGAACAAATTCAGATCATAGTTCAATTCAATTTTTTAATTATAAATAATACAATTCTTGTCGTAGTTTAAGTCAATTTCTATCTGAAGTTTAAAATGGATAAAAAAATATCACAAAATGTTTTGTTATAACGGATTATAAACCAAAGTCAATTTTTATACTGCAGGTAGAGTAATTTTAAAATGAAAAAGATTATATTTACAAACTCTTACAAACTACACTAAATATGACCAATCATACTTCAATCAATAATATATGACTAATTATGCTTAGTGTAATTTGTAAAAAAAAATTGTAAACTGACCGTTCTTTTTTTAAAAATAAATCACATAGTAGTAAACTATAATTTCCCATGAATAAGCACACCATCTCGTCTTGACTTGTATTTTAGCAAAACCAATTCTAGCTAACTGACTTTTCCTTTTAATATATTACTTATATCAGGTACAAACAACCCCACATTTTTCTTGAATCTTTGAACTACATCAAGTAATATAAAAGAGAGACAAAGACAAACCACTGTAAAAACTCACGTTTCTGTAAGATTTTCACCCTTGCTAGTACAGAGAAGCTCAAACAAAACAATATAAAATAAAGCTTTACTGATCAGCACAAAGCCATAATATGTAAATATCCAGGATCCAGCCTTAAAAATGCATAAGCTGTCACCAAATAGAAAATTCCTTTCCAATCAACAAGATCAGTAACCAAAGGTGGGAAAAATGGAAATTCGGATTCAATTTACAAACACCACCACTCAATCATGTACCAGCATTAGGCAGAGCTGCCATAAAGGAATTGTAAGAAGACTCAAGATCAAAGTGAAGCTGCCGAGCCTGTTGTTCTGTCAACTCATCAGCTGCACCCATCTTAGCTAACCTTGCAATCCATTCCTTCATTTTTGTTTTCCCCTCAAAATCAGGTGGCAGAATTGTCAACTTATTGAGTGAAGCATTAAGGTCAGAGAGCAAAGGGTGCACCTGATCCACAGCCACCATGTTAAGTTTCAAGGAATCCATTGCTGTAATGAAATTCTGCACACACTCAGCCACAATGGCAGCTGATGTGGATGAAGAGGCCGCAGCAGCCGCCCGGTGCTCCACGGTAGCAGGCACGCCAGAAATCACAAGGCGATTAATTGCTGATGGGCACTCCATCTTGTAAGTGTCTGCAAAACGCTCAATGCTAGGCACAGTGTCTTTGAGGGTGGAAGCTAAGGTTTTGAAATGAGCTATTAGCTTCTGGCACTCTAGCTCATATTCCTGAGGTGAGATTATGTCTCTAACATAAGCTTTCTCAAGTCTCTCAGTGGCCTTTATAATAGCGTAGAGCTCAGCAAAGTTGTCATACATTTCTCTCTCCCGCTTGTCATTCCATAGCTTAACCTCCATAGTACTACTAATGAGTATATGAATACACTGTATTCAGATGAGTATATGGATACACTGTATTCAGATTAGATTACACAGTGGTTTTCGTGACGGTGGAGGATTGGAGAAGAGAACGGGACACGCGCAAAGAGAAGGGTCCTTCTTCACTGGAAAAAAATACACACCATAACTCAAAACATAGCCAGTAAGTTAACTACTGCTAAGATCACAACACCACAAGTGGAATCCAAGAACTAATACCATTATTTCATCACATCACACATCAAAATGCAAACAAAAGTTACAAAGCGGTGTACTAGATGAGTTACATATTCAAAGTTGACTACTGAAATAAAGACCCAACAGAAGAAAAATTCTAAAAATCCTAACTTTCTATCAGATAAACAAGAAGTGATTCAAGATAGTCAACCAAACATGTATTTCTGTAATTTCTCTTTTGAAATTGAAAACGAATGCAAAATGGGTATTTAAAAAAAATAAAACTTTAAAGAGTTCTAGGTTTCTGGAATTTTCTTCAAATTTCTCAGCAAACAATAAACAGCACAAGAAGGGGGACATAAACATTGACGAAAACAAACAAATCAGCATGAGAAACAGTTAGGCATGAAAAAAAAAACCCATCTCAAACAAAATCCAATTCCCAAATCCTAAATTCCCAAAATCGATAAACCTAAAACCAATAATAAAGAGAAAGCAGTGAATAATTAACAACATATAAACATAAATTTGGAAGAAGAAAAAAAAAAAAGATAGAGAGAAGAAAGGAAAGAGAGACTTACAAGAACCGAAAGACGATTGAAATTGAAATGCTACGAGGGAAGGGGGGAGTCCCTTATGGTTTTGTATAGAATGGATTGCATGAGATGAATCTGGTGCGGTGCAGTCCACGAGAGAGAAAAGGGTTTGCGTGTGGGCTCCCACATGTTATTATTGCTGCACTGCTTACGGCATCGACGTGTAGCAGTTGGAAACCAAATAACTAATAAGCAAAAGCAAATGCTCAAATCTCAATGCTCTTTCATTTTTCCCTCTTCTTTTTCACACTATTTTGCAACCTCCTCAACAATACAATTTATACAAAATAATTGTTGACTATTTTGTTGTTCTTCTTGGAATACATTCATGTGAAATCACCAATTACTATTTAAAAAATAATAATAGATATTTCTTAACCTAACCTGACCTAACTATTTTGAACTAACTTTATTATTATTATTTTATCTATTGCAGGTCTACATTTTTTTGTCAGAGTGATATAAATGTACTACACCGGTCTATAAGAACCTATAATTTAACCTATATTAAGTCAAATTTATCTTATTATAAATAGTTAAATAGAACTTTTTTAGGCGTTTTTTTGTATATGTGCCTATTAGCCTATAGGTCGACCTATATTATATTATTTATTTTAAATAAAATAAATAAAATATTATTTTAATAATTTTAAATAATAAAATACTATATATTTTTTTAATTATTGAATATTTAATAGATTTAAACAGGACACAGGCCTAGGCCAAGACTTTTGTTTTTTAAATATAGGTCAAACCAGACTTGTAATTTGGACCTACACAGATCAACAGGCCAGGCCAAATAATTTTTTTTTGTATATGTTTAACCTATTTAAGTCAAAGCCTAGACTAGCTTAGCTTATTTACATTCCTAATCTTATACCCTACACTACACCAGCCAGAATCACTTCTCCACTTATTTTTAATGAATATGAATTTTGGGGTTCCTCAATAAAATTTGAACTATTCAATCGTAAATAGTTCCTATAGAAACTAAAAATTTAATGATTACACAATTAAGATGAATATTATTGTGCATTATTGCTTAGTGACAAGACACTATCAACTTGTTCTATTTGGATTAATAGGTTATAATTAAACATTGATCCCAGCTCATTCTTTCAATGCTAGATTTGAATGGAATGTAATAATGAATAAAAAATGGTAAACTATACATAATTGAAACCCTACCATGATGCTTTGATAGTCTTTTTGTGTGGTCTCTTTCTCTTGGTAGGAATTTGATTTCTCTTTTGGTTGTTTCACTGATGAAGACTACTGCCTAAATCTTTCGATGGCAGTCCTCTGCATTTTTTCCCCATGTTGTTATATTTTATTTTTTATTTTTTTTTATAATTTTATCACAAACCTAACATTTTTTTTATATACATGAAAAGATTGTCTTTCAATTTCTCTAATTTGTCTTTATTCAGTGGTTTAAACTTTTGTATTGAAATAATTATTTATACGACAAGGAAAAAACAAAAATTAAAACTTTAGATTTATGAAGTAGGGTCATCACCTTGAGAAGGTCATAACCTTCAAATCTATTGAGCAAATTTGTAAATTATCTGATCAAAGTACGATAAAAAAAAAAAAAAAAAAAAAAAGCAGCAAGGTCTCTTGTGGTAGGAAGAAACGTTATTTGAAAGATAAAACTTGGTCATTGTGATCGACCCTTTGAATGGTGATTGCTACATAGTTAATCTACTATTCCCATTTGGGTCCATAGATTGTAATAAATAATTGAGCAAATGCTTAGTTACATATTAACTTTAATTTCATCCTAAATTAATTAGAATTAGATTTGTTTATGAAATTAAATAAAAAATAAGAAAAGAATAAATAAATATATAAAAATTTAAATATTATTTGAAACATAATAAATAATGACTCTACCCTACAATGTTAATAGCATTTATTTATCCTGAGACAATTACATGTCAATTCATTTCGCATTTCATTATGTTCTTATTTTTCCTGAATTAAATTTCGGTCGATTTTTTATTATTATTATTATATTTTTATAACAAACTTATGTCCTTTGAGTTAGCTTATAAGGTTCTTCGAAAAATATATCAATCCATGTACTCAATTATCAAGCTATAAGTAAATTTAAAAAAAAAAATTCCTGCAATCCATTGCTTGAGAGATGTAACTGTCCGCGCTATGAATTTTTGGTAGCCCAATTAGATATGGGATTAGCATCAGTTTATGGACCAAGAGGAAATATTAAAACGTGGCCCAATTTGAATATATGTTTAAGGGGTATGTATATCTGTAGGCAACACTTAAAATTACCATCAGTCTTAAATGTCTCAGGTTATAAAATATATATCGCGTTTTTTTGTCTTTTTTTCATTGATTTTTTTTTTTTTACTTTGTACCAAAGGTCATAGGAGTTAAGAGTTTCCAAATCAAGTTTGTTTATAAAAGGTAATAAGAGTAAAATAATAAGTAAGGGAAAATAGGAGATAAAAATTATTTCCTGCAATCCTAAAATTACGTCATTTTTAATGAAGAATATTTTAAAAAAATTTATTTGTTTTTTTGTTATATAAATTTTATTAAAACATACTCTATTAATTGTTCCAACTCTCAAAATAACATAATTTTAAAGTTGCTGAAAGTAATTTTATCTCATGTGATAAGAGAAACGATAAACTCAATAAGTAAATATTTTTGTAATGCATCCTCTCTATATATATATAAACAAAATCATTATTTAGAAAGAGTGAAAGAAATGGGAAACTCTCTAGGTTACAAAATTTATTTATCCCCTTACCAAGGGAGAAGGAAAAAAAATATGTTCGGAAACAAATAATTTCCTACAAAAAAAAAATTACTTTCTGAACTCCCGCCCCCCTCTCCTCCTTATTTTTTGAGTTCGAAGTTTACCCAAATTTAATTTGTTGTAAAGATTATAAATTAGAACAAAGTGATAAAACTTTTTAAAACCTTCCATCGGATCCTTATATTCATAAAATAAATAGTACTATTGAATTAATTTGCACGTAATCATTAATATCACAATTTTTTATCATTATATTAAAAAAAAATTGTACAATTCTCTCACATCATTTGTTTTGGCACTTATCTCTTCCATACTTTAGAAATGTTTTTCACAAGAGTTAAAGTTATTTATATTTTCATAAAAAATATTTGATTTTTGACTTCTACTTTTTATAGAAGCTAAAAAATTTAGCTTAAAAAAAGTTGGATTTTAACTTTTTTTTTGTGACTTCTGCTTTTTTAAATCAGACATCCAAATGAACTTCAAGTGCAGCTTTTTTTAGAGAAAAAACAGGTTTTGGAGAGAGAAAAAGCTCATCCAAACGGGCTCTTAATGGCAACACTAACAGCTCGTTTGTGTTTACAAATCTAAAACAAACTTTGTTGGTAATATATGAGATGTCTAGAAATGGAATGACATTTACTACTCTTTTGCTTGATGTTGGAATGAATGAAGTTTACTCTCTCAACAAACAAATATTAGTAATTACCTTTTTTCTTCAAAGTGCTCACAGATAATTGGGCATATGAACATACAGAGGCCGTATGCACGGACACAGATACAATTAAGGGCATGATAAATTCTTGTATTGATGGAAGTTTGATTGAACAGGGAGTGAATTTGATCACTTTGAGGAGATCAGAGCTGATTGCTTTCAATTTTTTTCTTTTTTGCAACTATTAGTAGCTTACTTAGTTATCATTATGCTTCTATTTGGGTTGTTTTCAACTATGTTTCATATATTAGAAAATTATTTGCCTTATTCAAGGGAGGAATACTCATAAACTTAACATATATGCATTAACTATCCGTAGAAGATTTTCCCTTTAAGGAACTTCCACAATAGTGCCTTTAATTAGCTCTTTTTACAATGGAACGTGAAACCTTATGGTTCCTTGTATTTTTGCAATTGGTAGTTGACGTTTTATCTAGTGCAAATATTTGGTTTTCTTCAATTATGAAGCAGTTTCACCCTAAGCAAAAGATGGTTGTTGCTAGAGCAATTGGCTTAGGAAAATCTACTCCATTAACCAATATTTTAAGAGAAGTTCCTAATACTAAAAGAACTTTGGAAGAGTGTGCAAAGTTTGCACATGTTTCTCAAAGAAGGATACAATCAATTGCTCATGCTCTTTCTCAGAATGATGACATATTTATTTTGGTTGATCCATTCAATATTATAGATGCATCTGCTGCCACAAAATTGTGTGATGAATACATCATGGTCATCATTTGTAGTGATGAAATTGAGACTCTCACCTCGAATGAGCTAAGTATTGATATAAACTTGATCTAGGTGTCCGCTAAAGGTGTTGAGAAAGAGCACATTATCCTTCTAGTAGCCAGAGCTCCTAAGACTGTAATTTAGAATGCTCTAACCTACATGGATTTCGATGGAAATTGGCATTAGCATCAAGTTAACAAAGGGAACCCTAAGCAGGTATTCCCCCTTTGCAACTGCAAAGAGGATGTCAATAACAAGGTTCATGTAGTGCTTGATAAGTTTGCTGAGCTCAAACTTCAATCTGTAGGTGTTAAACGACAAGAATACCATGAGGAGTTACCATCCATATTAAAGTATTTATGCAAGGTTGAAATTGCAAATCTCCTTACTTGTGCAAATAGTTCTTAGAGAAAGTTGTTGAACCAATTCCTTTGTGCATGCAACCTGGAGTGTCCTTTTTGTTGTTGCCTTTACTTACATGTGAAATGCAGAAAGACAGGGCAGCTGACATCTTGAGCGTGCATCCTTGTGAATTTAGGCCTGAGCGCTCCAACAAACTAGGAGATGAGTTTGAGCTGATCATAAACCGTAAACCTCTAACAAGACTAGGATGTTGGGGCCTCTTGATTGATATACACATGGAAGTTGGACAACTTGTCATTCAATACTGGAAAAAAAAGTCATGGAATGAAGCCAAACATAGATCACAGGCTTAAGAAATTCAAAGTTTGAAATATGCATTTATCATTTGCCTTATAGCATTCAAATTTATGGATGCAACCAGAAAAGCAAGCCTTGCCAGATTCATAACTCATTCTAGTCAACCAAACTGTGAGATAGGAAAATAGAATGCCTTGGGGAAATAAAATTTGAAATACTAGCTGAACATGTTATTTCTATTGTAATTGAATTGGCA